GTTTGTGTGGACTCTGTTTCTCTCCCAGCAAGGTTTTCAGTTTGGAGATTACTCCTTTTGAAGAGCAAAGAAAGGTGGGGCGCCCGGGTGGCTCAGTCGGTTAAGCATCCGACTTTGGTGCAGGTCACGATCTCACCGTTTGCGAGTTCGAGCCCCGCACCTGGCTCTCTGTGCTTCAGATCCTCTGTCTCCCTCTGCCCCTCCCTGGCTTGTGCACGCTCTCTCTCAAAAGAAATAAACATTGAAAAAAAGAATAAAGGAAGGAAATAAGGCCCAATCAGCCTGGTCTTCTAGCCACCTGTTAATGCCATGCTGTCCTCATTAACAAGCGGGCCTGTCATTTCGTTGTTCACTTTATTCTAAAAAGCCTCCTTTCATTTGGGGGTTCGGGCTTCTTGACACATTCAGGTGATGGTTTAAAGTCCCTGGAGCCAGCCTGAGGGGCTTAAATCCCACCCCTGCCCCTTACTAGCTGGGGGATGTTGAGCAAGTTCCTTTTGGTGCTTAGATTTCCCCATTTGCAGAAGGATTAATGTCTTTTTCGTGGGGTTGTTGGGAAAAATTAAGAGTTGTAAAGAGCTTAGAACAGCGGCCAGCAGAAAGCCAGCCTTGAATACCTACTGGCTGTTCCATATTTTTATATGGAACTCTCTGAAGGCGCTGGCCTTTACTTTCTCTTTAGAGTCTGTGTATAGAAGGAGACTTTAGAAAGGTTCCTGGGCGCTTGGGTGGCTCAGTCGCTTAGGCGTCCAACTCTTGATCTTGGCTAAGGTCGTGATCTCACGGTTCATGAGATCGAGCCCCGGGCTGGGCTCTGTGCCGACAGCGTGGAGCCGGTTTGGGATTCTCTCTCTGCTCCTCCCCGACTCTTGCGTGCACTCGTGCATGTACACTCTCTCTCTCTCTCTCGAAATAAATACACTTAAAAAAATAAAAAGTAAAAGGTTTCTAAATGTCTAGAGTCTCTTCCCACAGGTGACATTTTCTCTGAACTTTTTGGCATCTACTTTCATAAAGGCCGGGAGATGTGTCTGACTACATTCAACATTTATTTTATTCCGTGGTACACATACCAGGGTGGCAAAGTCATTTCTCCTCCAATTTCCCATCACTTCCCTGTTGGTGCCTTTCCTCCTTACAGGTCCAGTATCAGCCTTCCCTGGTATGTCTTCTAATTTCTAAGCAATGGAACCATCAGCAGGGCAAGTCAAGATGTGTGAGATGGTCTCTTTGTGGCAGGATGAACCTCCAGTGGACGTTAAGGTCCCCGTTGCACTGTAACTTGCCTCCTTGCCAGTGTTTCAAAACTTTCAAGTAATAATAATACTGATACCGAGTATTATACTCAGTATATGATACTGAGTATAATACTGGCCTGATACTGAGTGTGCTAAGTATACTTAAGGACAGTGATGGGTTCCAGGGAGGGTGGTCGGGTGGCCTGGAAGGCCTCACTCTTGACACGGCACCAAATTATTTGTCTTCATTAGACACCTGAGCAAATGAGCCTGGGACAAAGGACAACGGATCCAGCCAGAACTGTGCCAGGGAGGGAAGGGTGACTGAGGTCACACACAGCCTGTCGCCATCTCTCTTATGTACGTCCTGTGCCTGACGATGCGGCTTCTAACATGAAGACACAGCGGAGGGCTGCTGGCAAACAGCCTGTCATGTAGTCATTAGGAACAGGGACACTCCAGAGAGAAAAACAAATTCTAAGAGACAGGCATCTCAAGAAAAGCAAGACTCTGCAAACTGCAGACACCAGCCAAGGGGCGGGTTTCACCTGGGCCCGTGTGTAAAGGGCTGCTGGCTGCCTACTGATCTTTCCTGTCATACCTGGGCAAGAGTGACAACAAATCACTGTCAGCCACCCCATCTCTGAATGCAGAGGACGGCAGTCCATGAGCACACCTGGGGACCTTCCTACTTAGATTACCGGGAGGATGAAGAGAAGAGAAAATTGATTTATCGATGCCATGCACCCTGGACGGAATCAACAGACAGGAGTTTGACATTTAAGACCCCGATCAAATAGCAGTGGGAACTGCTAGTCTGGTGGCAGCGACTCCCCGAGTGACCTGGGGCAAGTCACTTTACTTCTTTGCTTCGGGGCTCCACATCTGGAAAAAAGGGGACTGCCTTGTTCAGTGACCACAAGGGGAGACTGTGGGGCTCAGCTCAGGTGGCTAATGAAATCCAGGCGGGGCTTGGCCCCCTTGTGGGTGCTCTGCTGGGGCAGTCCCAGCATCTTAGAGATCCGCCAGAGGGTGTGAAGCGAACTCTGCCACGCTCCAACACGAGGTCCTACTAACAGGCTGTCTTTGAACAAGATGGACGGCACATTCACCCTCTCGGGATAGATTTGTGCTTGTAAATACTTCCAAATACACTGGAAAGGGAGCACCACACAAACCTAACATAAGAAAAGTGGTAAGGGTCAACTGGTGTTAGAGGAGTATACCCCTGTGCCTCTGAAATGGTTTACAGAGCCCGGTTCTGATGCACGCGAAAGACTCCAAGCCCATCTCCCCACAGTATGTGGCTTGAGGTAATGCTTACCTGCTCTATGTGAAGGTTGTTCTCACCTTCTGCATTTTTGTTTTAAGTTCAGGAACACGTTAGCTGGGAATTTCTAAGTTGTCCTGCAACCACAAAAACCAGAGCAATCTATCCAGACCCAGCTTCTGAAACCATGGAAGGAACCAATCACTAGTTCTCTTTGGAATCTAACGAAGAGGTAGTGAAAGCCCCAGGAACATGGGTTCCTCAATCACACTGTTAGCAGACGAAGGATTCTTTTTTCATGAGCAATAAACTTTGAGACTATGCAGTTTGGGATTTGGGTATACTTCGTTTCTGTGAGAGAGATTTATAATGCAAAGGGTACAGTTAACATGCTGTGATAGTTGATTTCATGTGTCAACTGGGCTAGGCCATGGTACCGAGATATTTGGTCAAACATTCTAAATGTTTTTGTGAAGGTGTTTTTTAGATGAGATACATTTAAATCAGTAGACTTTGAGTAAAGCAGATTACCTTCCATAATGTGGGTGGGTGTCACCCAATTGGCTGAAGACCTTAACAGAAAAGGACTGACCTCCCCCAGAAGGGGAATCTGCCAGCAGACTGTCTCTGGTGCAGCTCTTCTCCAGGTCCCCAGCCTAAAAGCCAACCCTGTGAATTTTGGGTTTGTCAGTCCCCACAATCACATGAGCCAACTCTTTAAAATAACTCTCTTTCTCTGCGTATGTGTATATATCTATACACACACACATCTACATACACAACCTATTAGTTCTGACTCTCTGGAGAATCCTAACACACACACTGTGGTAAATACTGCCATTGCTCACCAACATTTCCGGTTTTCTCTCCTGGGTCTGTAAAACAAAAATTACACTTTCCAGGAAACTTAGAGTAAACCACGATCATGTTACTTGCTTTGGCTAACAAGATGGAGGGAAAGTGATGGGGGGGGGTCACCACCGGTGAAAGCATTTAAGAGCCAGTATGATTGCTTATGCCCCTCCCCTGTAGCACCGAACCTCAGTCCCACCGAGATGGTAGAAACAAGAGTCAGAGCCCCCAGGTGACCACGATGAGCGGAATCCCACCGGCTGGCCCCTGTGGACGTGGAGCATGAGTGAGCATCATTTGTTGTTTCAAACCACCGAGATCTGGGGGTTGTTTATGATTGATACACCACTTGGGAAAAAAAAAAAAAAAGTCCTGGTGATTTGTACTTACTGACTGAACCCTTTCAAGCCCCTGTCAAGAAGTGATAAATTATTGAAGCATAGCATAAAGTGTTTTCTTTTTGGTGTGCACACAGTAAAACCCTGTGAAATGTTCCTGTTCACCTTTCCTCAGTTATTAAAAAATAATTGTTTCCAATTACTCTGATCTTTAAAATAAAGCAAGACAAAATGCCACATACACTTCCCCGGAACTGGCACCACCCCTTTCCTCCCTCCTTCCCTCTCCTGCCCCCCACAACATCCTTCAACCAGGCAATTGTTTGAAATCACACGACTGGCTCCTGGAACAGGAATGCTGTTCAGCTTGGGGAGGGAGAGAGGAGGAAGGCCAATACAACGTCCACACAATTGTCTGGTATTCATTCAACCTCAGTGCCCAGATACATGTGTTGTTCCTAGAGACCGCATAAACTGCTCAGAGAATAAAGCGGGGTTGTGGAAATCTCATTAATAAACTGTGAAAACCCTCTCAGCAGGAGTCACATAATGCAGAGGGGGCCGCCTTGTGCCAAGCAACGTGAATGCTTGGTGCTCTGCTCCTGGACAACATCACACTCCCACACAGCTTGGATCTGAGAGAAAGGCTTCCCAGGAGCCCCTCCCCAGCGGGGGTGAGGAGAAATTCTCCCCCAATCACGGTGAAGCAACTGGAACCTGAGTAAGTTTACAAACTCCAGGCTTTGCTTTAATGGAAACCACTGCCAGACAGACATATGTACGTGACTGGCTCCTCCCCTGCTGTGTTTCATAAAAATTAGAGAAGGACACTGATGCCAATGCTCCTGAAAGAAGGCGAGAAAACCTAACAAGTCTAACTGCACAGGAGGTGCAAGGTGACTGCAGACAGACCTGGCTTAACTGGGGTGCTTTTTGCTAACTGGAGTTTGGGTCTCCCCCGCAACTCCATTCAGATTCCCACTGCTGTTGCGGATCCCCAGCTCTACTTTCTATCCAGGTGACAGAATCAGAGGCTGAACTTCTGACTTCACAAACCCTTCTCGGCCTCCGACTGAAACCGGAGGCCTCTGTCGAACATTTCCACTCACGCATTTTGTGTGGCAAATCGAAGGCGATGGGCTAAAGAAGGACGTCTCTAAAATGTTTTAATTACCACCGCATGCATCCTTTCATCAGACAAGTAAGTAAAGCAATCAGAGCATATGACACTGCTGCAGCCTTGGGTTAAAATCACGTACAGGGAAATAGCTTTTCTTTCTTTTTTTATTCTTTTGCTTTCTGCACACTGACACAGAGGTAAAAGGAAATGACTGAAACTTAAATAGGAAGGAACGCGTCACAATTACATTATCACAATTCTGTACATTTCTCTTCCTCGCAGGTCAGTGAAAAATCACCAACTATTATGAAATGGGACAAGTGGAAGTCACAAAGGAACCCCCCAAAAATCTCATAAAAAAATATACCCCAGTATGAAAAGTATTGTACTCCTGGCGTCTTCACATCCTTCTCTTCTGTGTACTTATATACAATACTGAAAAGAAAAAATAAATATGTTGAAAAAAACCTGTGCTTAAGTCTCACAACAGCAAGTTCTAAAAGCAAATAGATGTTGGCCTAACATGTCTGCAAATTTAAAGGGAATTTTCATACGACACGAAAAAGTCTAGGACGACTGAAAAACTAATTTCATGAATCCAGACGCGCGTCTGATGTCTTACAGGCCTGTGTTCTAGTGCTGGCTGTACATGTGACTGCAAACTGAGACCAGGAGGACAAAACAGAAGGGATGTGAAAATCCCTGGAATCTAAGAATGTTTTATAATTACAGATTTATTATGCTTGTAGGAAAGCAAATCAGTAAACCCACCAGGGGAGACTTCAGATTAACAATAAAAAACATTTCCATCCATCTCTCCAATAAAAACTCTAAACTTGCTGTTTACTATTCTTTAATTACAACGCGATAAACAAGGGCTGAGGAGTTTTTGTGGGTTTTTTTTGTTTGTTTTGTTTTGCTTCTGTTCTTGTTTTTAAAATACTAAAAGTTTTATTCTGAGTTCCCTTTTAAAATATCAACCTTTGGTGTTACCCAAAGTTTTGCTCACCTAGTCCTCTTGTGAACACCCAAACTGGACCCTTCAGGGTATGTGGTGGTCCATGAGAACAAGACGAAATGTGAGAACTAGGGGACTCTGTCAGGCTTTCGCCGGAGGCGTTCTTCCCACCCTCTACCCCCCTGCCTACTGAGACTCCGACACGGCTCTTCAAAGTGACATTAAAAGGCATTTTGACCAAAGAACGTAGCACATATTAAACAAGTAAGTCGGGATCCTCTTTAAGAGACAAAGATGTAAATCTGGGGGGGGGCTAAAGAGAACTACTGCTGATTACATCGTGGAAAAAGTTACATGAAGGGAATCATCAGAATGACAGCAAAAACACACCTGGGAAACTGGACAAGCGCTAGATGTGGTGTGCATGTGACAGGATCTAGCCTGTCACCACTCACAGGTGGCTACTGCTATCAGCTGTCTGGAGATGGGCAGAGAGCATAACATTTCTAGTAAATGGAGGGAGTAAAATAAGAATAATATAAAAAAAATAGAGAGGAAATTTTCCATGTTGGGAAGACTAAAAAGCCAGCAAAAGATGTAAAAAAAAAAAAAAGAGAGGACGTGAGAAAATGTGGTACTGTAAGAACAGGAGACAGAACACCTACAATGAGTCAGGATACTTAGTTCAGAGCAGAGATACAGCTGTAAAGGCGGATGAAGAAATTACCCAGAACCAAAGAATGCACGTCCATAAAAAACCTGAACTCCATTTGAGGGATGGGACCAAAGGTGGGGATGGGTCGAAGGGCAGTTACCACAGTTTTGATGTCTCTCCCTTCCCCCTGAGAAACTCAAATACGACTCTAATGATAACTGTTTAAAACAAGGTACTTAAAAGTAACTGTAATAATCATAGCAATATACTAGCAGAGTAACTTTAGAACCCTATTTCCTATTTTGTCTTTTTTTTTTTTTTTTTTTTTTTTTTTTTTTTTTTTTTTTTTTTTTTTTTTTGCCAAACTAAAGGATGCAAACCTCCACAACAGGCATTTGAATGTTTAAGACAGAAAAGGACACACAGGACAAGCTGACTGCCAAATGATGCAAACCAAAGACAGCGGGGAAACAGGGGCCATCGTTTTGGCTCCAACTGCCACTGTGAGAGGCAGTGTTGGGGGAATATAATCAACTGTATTCAAAAGTACCGGGTTCTGGGTCAGTATACTAATGCCCCTCGGTTCTTCATTAGTAAAGAGAGGGAAGGTGAGAATGCCTATTCTAAAACTCCAGGAGGCATCTTAAAAAAAATGGTCACAATGAAGATCCGAGATATAAGAAGTTAAAGATTAACACGGCAAAACTAAAACTAAACTTTTGAATTATGTAGAAAATCTGCTGGGGATCCTGATTATAAACAAAAAGGCTTATTTTGGATGTTACACAATTGTACAGTGAGAGAATATTACCATTGTTTCCACGGATAAATGCATCCCCGTACTTATTCTTCAGCTGTCCATTTACATATTCTTCCGTCTGCTCCAAGGCTATATTCATGTAGCCATCCAGGCAAGCCAGGACCCCTGGAGGCAGATTTAGTCAAAGAGAAGATACTTAAAGCAAGTCAGAGTTGAAAATTACAGGGTATACCTTAGAGCTGACAATCTCTTTATTTGTTAGCTCTTACATGCTTAATATAAAAATTCACACTGTAAATGAAACTCAGATCGGTTCATTCTGTGCCACTGTGAAGGAAGGCTAAGAAGCATACAGTGTGAAAGCAGTCATATACCCACTGCTAAGAGGGAAAACATCAAACTATCACTTGCTTTGTGATATGTGTGATAACAACAGCAAGTTCTAAAGCCTTCCCAAAAATAACAGAACAAGCATGTTCCAAATAAGACACCATCCTTTGAAAGCTAAAATCAGGAGTGGGCAATTATGCAGGAACAAATGACCACTGGCCAAGACTCCTCGCTTCCAGTGGCATTTCTTACTTCAGCCACTAAGTGAAATATGGGTCTGGCAGATTTATTGCATTCTTTCGCAACATCTACTGCAGCAGATGAATGTACTCCAGGGTTAAGAGGAAGTCTCCACAATCTGTTAAAATAATAGAAGAGGAGACAGCAGGTGCTACTGAAGGCACATCTTAAAGCTGTGACTCACAGTGAAGAGCAGCTTGAGAAGAGAGGGCAACATATTGCATTATAACACATCCCTTTCTGTTTTGTCACAGTTAGAATATTTTCAAATCCAGACTAATATAGAAAAGTGGCCCAAGACGTTCTGAGGAGCTTTTAAGGAAAAACTGTTTGAGTGAATCTTTTTAATTGTGTTAAAATGGCATAAATTGTGCAAAACTTGCCCTGATATATATATATATATCAGGGCAAGTTGTTTGTTTGTTTGTTTTGTTTTTTGTTTTTTCCAAAAGGTGAAAATATATAAGCCTCTAAGTCCGGGTCTTTAACTTAAAGTGGTATTTTCTAGAAAAAAAAATTAAGTGAAAACAAACAGTACAAACTTGATTCAATTAGTCAAGTCGATGGCTTCATTTGGCCTCCACTTCGTTAATATGCTCCTCACTCTGCCTCTGCCCCCATTTTCCTCTAAACAAAAAGTTTCTTTCCCCAATTGTGTGTGTCATGAGAACACAAGACGTTAACCTAAGGGAATTCTGCTAGAAGCTGCACACTTTCAGAGAACCAGAATAGATTATGGACAATTACTAACAATTATTTCCTATCAAAAGAAAGTTTAGGATGTAACTTTGTAGTTTATTTCCTGCTGTATCATTCTACATCAAAACCATAATCCTAAACGGGCAGGAAACTTCTGAAACATGATATGCAAATCTATTTTAAACTTAACTAAAGGCATTCCAAAATGAAATATTCACTAATAAAAATATCCCTTCTCCTGGCAAAGGTTGTTTTACGAAAAAGATTCCAAGAGGTTGTAATTGTAACCCCCTCCCTTCTCTAAGGGATAAACTACTATGAATAACAGAAGAAACAAAGTTTTCTTTAAACTTCAAGAGAAATTGTTACAGAGAGCTGGGTTTTTTAATTCAATCATTATGGTTACTAGCCATGTGAAAGGGGTTCAGCTTCACTAGTAAACAAAGAAACAGAAACAAAATGAAACTATTACTTGTTGCCAATTAGAATGGAAAAGTTGAAAACAAGGCTAATACAAGGGTTGGTGAGAACACAGAGAAGAATAAACCCATCTGCCCCGACTAGAGGGCCACTTGGCAAGCTCATTAACACAGAAATCCTAGCCCAGAGGATTTCTTCTAAAGAAATACTTGGACAAGTGTTCAAAATACATGTCAAAGAAGCGGAGTTGTTTACTTAAAATAGCAAAAACTCGGTAAATACCAACATGTCCATTAACAGGAAACTAGTTAAAAACAAAGTGGTGGTACATCCACACAAGGTATTCCTATGCAGCATTAAACATTCTGTAGTGTCAGAGAACTGAATGCATTTTTTTTAATGTAAAAAAAGAAAATAAGGGTGTATGTACAGATGATTCCATTTATATAAAATTATGCTTATATGGACACAGGTCCCAATTGGTAAGCCTGATTATCTCAATGGAAAATTTGGAGCGACTGCTTTCTTCTATATATGTTTCTTCATTATTTGCTTTGAACTTGCTTAAAAAAA